AAAAAAAAACTTCGTCGCTATACAGATCGACATATGTATAAATATGTGCACATAGATAGACAAGACAAAACACAACACACATGAACGTTTGATTTGCATATAGATAACAATAAAAGAAAGAAGAAAAGTAATTTAGTTAAATACTGATCTGTAAGAATATAGATAATTAGATCAGTTTATGTATTCATTTCCCATTCACGTAAATCAGCTAAATTTCGATTAAGTATACTACACCAATCATTACGATCTTCTTTCGAATCAGCACTTAACCAATATCGAAATAATGTTCGTTTACCAAATGGTTGTGCTATGATAGAACTACTTGAGTATTCTTCATTTTGTTCATATTCAATAAATCCATGATCAGTAGCTTTTTTGGCAGGCATAGCAATACGTAATTCAAATGTATGTGGTCGAGCACATGTTTCTCGTTGTAAAACATTAACTGTTTGATCAATACAATAATGTAAATCAATTTCACCTGTTGGTGGCTAAACAAAAAAAGAAATTTAGTCATATAAAATATAATTCATTTCTTTTTGCGGAATTTACCACATTCGCTTCTTCATCTTCTGGTGATGGCCAATATCGAAGATTTTGTTCATTAGTCAAAGTAAACCATCGTCGAATCCATACACCTGATCCATGAATATCACAATAGATTGTCTAAAAATAAGAAGAGAAATAAAAATTAAGTGAAATTCTTTTTTCATAAGTTACCATATAACCAGCTTTACGAATTTTCAATTCAGATAAACGTTGTAATTTAACATATAATTTATTTTTAAGTGGAATCGATGCCGATGAAATCTACAAAAACATGTATTATTTCATTCTTACAAAATATTAAGTGTAACTTACTGAAAGCATAAATTCTTGTGATTTAAGATCTTCTTTACGAATAGTAATAGCATCAACTTGAATAAAATTACTTACACGAATCATTGTATTTGTTTTTGAATGTTGACCAGGTATTGATACTAATAATTAAAAAATAAAATTTCATTTCGAAATTTCAAATTCATACCAGAAGTATTTAATCGTTGTTTATCACATTGCATACATTCACTAATATTTGAAACATGATGATGAGGACAAACAAGTGGTGAATGATCAAGTCCAGTTATTGCATGTTTCATTGTAATTTCCTTTAGTAAAAGAATTAATTTAAAATAAAAGAAAGATATTCTTATTAATCATGTTTACCATGCAATAGACACCAATTGTTGCAGCAAAAGTGCTTTCAACTTCTCGAATAATCATTCGATTCGAAAAAATAACTTGTCCATTTGATTGTAGAGCATCAAATGATGAAACCATATGTGAAAAAAGTGTTTGTGAACGGTAATGAACAGCACACATAAAAAAATAAAATTTTGTTTCTATAACAAAAATCATATAAAATAATTTCTCAAAAGAAATATCTAACAAACCTTTTCCTTTACGTAATGATTTTAAATAATCTTCTTTAATTGCTAAACGAATATCTTGTAAAATCAATGTACTATGTGAAATATCCGATGAATAATATTCACTATCTGGATCAAGATTTTCCAAACGTTTTATTTCACTATTATACGATGTTAATTTTTGTCCTAAAAAGAAAATAAAATTTTTACAGAAAAATAGATTTAGGAATTACATACGAGCCATAAAAATCACACGTTCACATTCGATTTTTTTATCTGATAATGCAGCATGTGGATCATTTGAACAACATTTTAATGCATGAGATGTTTGAGTTAATGTCGATGTTTCTCGTTTAGATAAATCTGTTAAACGCTAAATTATAAAAAGACAATAAAAATATATGACGTTTTCTTTTTTTCTTACATTTATTTCATCAATAATTAACCATTTTGATGTTGAACGTTTATTTTCATGTGTAGTATCATCAGTTGATATTGATGTTGTTGAATTTAATGTTGTTGAACTAGTTACAATTGAATTCGGACGATTTGTTGTTGAAAGTTCATAACCATCATGACGTTTTTGTTTTAAACGATAATCTGTTAGACTATAAACTAATGGTGATTGAACCTAAAATGATACCGTTTTTGTTTATTAATGAAAAATTAAATAAAAGAAAGTATTAACTAATTCATCGTCTTGTTCATCATGACAATATGTTCGTGGTGGTTTGATCGGAGACAAAAATGGATGTTTATTCAATGTTGGATCTGATATAGAACGTGTGGAAATCTGTCGACGAAGTTGATGATCTTGAATTGATGTAATATTTGTTTGCTATTTAGAAAAAATCATTATATGTAATTGTAAGGAACTTATAGGTCAAGACTGAGTTATGATTCGACTTATTTATATTCCAAACGAAATTCTTTAGGTTCAATATTTTGTTATATACTTTATTATAGGAAATAACTTACACGGGCATAATATAGATGATCTTCTTCTTCAAGAATAATATCATTTTCTTCTTCATCTAAATTTGTTATTTTTATTTCAGTTGTATCACTTTGTCTTTCACAAATGATAGCATTTGTTTGAATGATATTTTCATAAAGTGGTTGTTTATCATCTGAAGCTAATTAATAATAAAATCAATATAATTTTTCACGTTTAACTTAGTTTTTAGCAAAAAAAATTAACATACGTGTAATTTCATTATCTGGCGAATCAGTATCGTCATTGATTAATATTTCAGGTATGGGTTCTGTTAAATCAACATGAATTGTAAATGGTGAATGTGGTACTTCTTGTTCATTAAATGTAATAATAATCTTTTAAATCGAGAAGAAGAAAAATATGTTAATTGAACAATTTCTTTTCCAAACAAAATTTACTTTGTATTCTCCTTGCATAGTTGGATAAAACACACAATCATATGTTCGATTTGTATCTTCACGAAATTCCACAGTACACTAAATAGAGAAATATAGTAAATTAATGAAAAAAAAAATAGTTTCTTTCAAACCTCTTCTGTTTGACCATTGGCATTCACAACAATAACATCAACTTTACCTAAACCAGCTGCACATGTTTCAATATGAAATATAACTGGTTTATCAACAATATGTCCCATTCGATCGAGTCCTAAATTTAACAAAAACGATAATAAAAAACAATAGTTCAATTAAATTTAACTTTCTAACCTAAACCATAGCAACGAACTTGATTTGCATAATTTTTGGGTTTAACTGGTGCACCATGCTTCAATTGCGCATTTGGATATTGTGATAAATAAGTCATCATTGATTGTTCATCCACTTGTGGATTTACCATTTCATGTGGTTGAATAAGCTAAAAGGTATAAATCCTGATTCGAAAATAGATTCATAACAAAAAAAAACATCTCATGGTAAAATGTAATCTTAGCTCGATATTTCTTTTATTGAGTGAAAAAATCGCCTTTTTCTTACTTGTGGAATTCCAAGCCATTTTTCAGCTAAATCCATCGCTTCTCTCGCATTTTCTAATGCATTTTTCGGATCTCGATCAGCCCAATTTGGAAATAAACCTGGATAACATGACTCAAGTACAGCTCCAATAGCTCTTCCATCATTCCAATCCGAAGTAAAATTTGCAATATTAATCTGTGTTGGTAATTTTGCTTGTAACCAATTCATTAATTTTTGTTTTGGTTTAAGATTTTTAATTGTTTCCCGTTTTTCATTTGGTATTTCCCACGCTGGTAAATTAATCGAATAATGTAAAATAAGTGTCCATAAAAGACCGAGAATTAATTTTATTTTTCCATCAACAATATCTGATGCATCGATATTAACTAAACGTCGTTTTTCAATATTTTCAAGATAATCAAGTGCAACAGAAACATTTTCTAATTTTTGCGAACGAAATTGTGGACGATGATTATATCGTGGTAATTTTTTATTAACTAAAATTTCAATTAATGCTATTAAATTTAAACCATCACTAAGATCTGTTTGTAAATTATCAATATGTCGTTGAACTAATTTTAAACGTTCATTTGCCCATCGTGTAAATGTATTTTGTTGAATTTTTTTCCATTCAGCATTCTGCCCACATTCACGTTGCATATCATCATTAAATTCTAAAGAAGAAGAAGAATAAATAGATTAAGATTATAAAATAAAATTGTTAACCTTGTTCTCGTCGATGAAGTTCTTCGGTTGTTAGTGTTATATCTGGATTATTTGTATTTAATGATTTTGGATGAAGAATTTGATGTTTTAAAGGAGCTTTTTTTAATTGTATTGGTGTTGTAGGTAAAGATTTTTGAACATCAGTATTTTGATCCTCATGATCATATTGTTCTTTTTGTTTATTTAATTCTTTCTGAAGAGAAAAAAAAAATCAAATTTTTATTAATTAAAAAACATTTTGTAAATTCAATTAAACTTACTAATTTTAGACGAAGGTTTGTACTCATTGTATTCATATATGAAGAAAAGGAAGAAAAGAATTCAATTTCATCCGCTGATGAAAAAGACAAAGACCCGCTTTAAACAATGTGAGAAATTTTATTAACCAATCAATAGATCAGTTTTGAACACCGAATCTAGCGACATCGTTCATTTTTTAACCAACATATATATATATATTCATACCTCATTTACTCGTAACATATAGAATTCTATGATGACAGAAACAACTGAAGAATCAACTTTGGATAAATTACTCAAATCTCGTTACCCATTGACATATTATTTAAGTCGACAACAACAATTTATAAATTCCTTTTCATCAAAACAAACTGTTGCAGAACCAACACCTCGTCGTCCTTCTTCTGGTTTGATATTAATCATCAACGAACTATTTAATTTAAATCTGCTTTTTGTTTTTGTTTATAGATGCTGGAACAATCGTGGGACATAAACGAAAGACACCACTACCACCACCACCTTGTTTTAATGTACCTGATACACTTGATTTCGATGCAACAGAATGTATGTTATAAATAACCTTATATTCATATGATTACCTAAATTCAAGTGTATTGACAGCATTTGAAAGAAGTAAAATTTATTTATTTAGATGGACATAATGATGAAATCAATGAAAGTGCAGCCATGGAAGAAGATAATGACACATTATTATTAAAAAGTATGTGAAACATTTAATTGATTCGTGTTTGTTATTTTTTCTTCTTTTCTTTAGATATCAATACTCGAGCAAATGATAGTACAAGTGTAAGACAACACTAATATCAGTTTTGTAAATTTTTTTCTTAAATAAAATCAATCTAGGATATTATTAATGAAAAACATTCTTTATTTATTCAACGTTCGTCAGCAATTGAACTAGAATTTTCTCCATATGAGAATAATTCTCCATTACGACAAGCAATAGAAAATGGTTTAAATATAATTAATAAATAAAATTCATTGATTTCTCTTTATTTTGTTATACATATATATTTTTTTGTTGTTGTTTTAATAAAGAAAAAAAGATAGAAGAAATTGTTCAAAATATTTTAATATAAGGTGGAGATGGTAAATTTGAATCTGTGCTGCTATACACAGCTGCTTGTTTCAATGGACATGGAGTTTCACGCCATAGATAACGAAGGCCATAGATTGTTTGTGAAATACATGAACTTGGAATTGTTAATGTTATACTTAAACTATTTTTGGATGAAGCTGGTGCTGCTACCCATAAATTATCATTTGAACATGATGCACCTTGACAACAAACCTTTGAAATACATAATTATATATTTTAAAATAATGAAATAGTTGTTTTTACTTCAAAACCAGCTGTATTACGTAATTCAATAGCAGTTACATTGGAATAAGTAATATCAATAGTAGCACTATCACTTGCTACAACAACAGATGATACAATGGGTCCTAAAAATTCAACATTTTGTTTATACCAAACGGCAAGACCAGCACGAGATAAACGATAACCAACATCTTCTTTTGTACGTGGATGAATACTAAAAGGTTGAAAATTATAAATTTTCTTCAATCTATTCTATCATATTTACCCTCCATCATCATCACGTAAATCCATTGCAGCAGCCATAAATACATTTGGTACAACACTGTTTGGTACATAACCAACATCAAAAGTTTGATGCCATCGAATCCATGGAAAACCACCAACAACCGTACCACTTCTATCATCTGTTGATAACTATAAATAATTAAAATAAATAAATTTTGTTTCTTAAAACTAAATCTTATTAATTAATATACTTGAACAAATCCAAAAGGAAAATTTGGATCTGTAAGACCTCCTGTACGTGTACTCCATATTTGTCGCCAGTATTGAATCATTTTTGCTTGCATACATGAATATTTATCACGATTACTATACGCATTTGATTCTCCTATGTAAAAATAAATGAAATAAAGTATTTAAACTAAATTTTCTAATGATTTTTACCTTGATACCAAATAGCTCCTGTAATAACCATTCTTGTAAATGGATGAATCATTGAATTATACAATTGTGAATTTCTTAATACTTTTTCTTCAAAATTAGGTTGTCCATAAGGTTGAAGAGGAATTTTTTGTCTATTAAATAAACACCTTGTTAAAAATCAATTATAATATTCTTATATAATACTGACCTAAAAACACCACAGTCGCTTAAAGCTGGTGGTGGCATCCAGAGTTCAATAGCTGTTCCACCCCATGATGTAGCAATAAGTCCAATTGGTCTATTATTTAAAGCAGTATGTATCATACGACCAAAATACCAACAAGTTGCTGATGCATAGGCATATGATGGACCTCCCACACTACTTGGTCCTCCTACTGACCAATTTTGTGTTATTTGAAGAAGTTCTTCAGTTGGTGTGCTTGAATCTCTTAATGAAGCTGTAAATAATCGTACTTTTGGATAGTTCACTGCATTAGCAATTTCTGTTGCAGCATTAAATGAATCAATAACAGCCATTTGCATATTAGATTGTCCTGAACATATCCAAACATCACCATAGAGAACATTATTTAATGCAATTGATACTACTGAGCCATTAGCCACAGGTTGAGTAACAATAACTTCAAAAGGACCTTCTTCAGTTTCAGGATCAAGAGTAACAGACCAAATACTGTCACCTAATTTATTTGCTGGTTCACTACGACTTATTGTATGATAGATTTTATTATTAAGCGATAGTGTTGTAAGAGCGTTTGTATCACCATAACCCCAGACAACAGCACGTTGTGGTGCTCGTTGTAATACCATATTATCTTGGAAATAATTAGCAAAACGAAGTGCTCCATGACCTTGAAGAGACAAGGTTTTTTATATTGACTTTTATAAAGAAACCTTTACTTACTTGTAATAATACATAAACTCAATAGCAAAAAGGCTTTTCGAAATGCCATGAATAAGTCTTACTTTTTTTTAAATATTTATGATTGTCTCCTTTGTAGAACTTAAGACTATATAAATAAATTACTGACAGTAGGTGTGTAAATGTAGTCTATTTATACGTCTCTATTCTTATCATACAAAATACTTTTATCATTTTTTTTGAAATTTTAATAAACACATATCTAAGATAAACCTTTTATTATTATCTTTTACTGTAAACATTTCTTTCTCTTACAACTATTTTTAAAAGTAAAATTATTTCAGTATAACACAAGATGCAAAGATATGAAAATATCATCGACAAATAATAAACTTCTGCCGTGTCTCGGAAGTACCAAATATTAAAATCATATCTTTTTTTTCTTTTAATTTAACATCTGTTTTCAATAAATTATGTCATACATTCAAAATCATATATACTTAATCAGTTTTAAATCTTGATACTCGATTCGAGTCATTACATTTTTTTTTCTGTTCTTTTTCAAAATTTACATCTATTTTATAACCATTGAAAACAACAGAATGATTAATAATCTTTACTCTATCAAGACTACCTTGAATTATATTACTTAAAAGAATATACTTTTTCTTTTTATATGCATTTTAAATACACCGAGAGAGAGGAAAAAGAAACAAGATGATACAGTGTGATTAAATGAACGAATGAAATATGTAACCACTATTCCTTCTTTTCATTCTCATATATAGAAAGGATGACAAAATAGTATTTAATTTCTTTTTTTGTCGCTGAAGCGGTCGGTCGTTACTATCGAAGAAGATAAAATATTTTTCATGAACAATTAAACAAAACATATTCATCATAGTAGGACATTTTTTGTTTTGATTTATTTAATTGAAAATATTTTTTTTTGGTAGTTAAAGATGCAATATAATCTGTCAATAATCTTAATCTTATTATTTATAATAAATACTACTGAATCATATGATTTTCATTATCATAATTATTCACAAATAACTGATCTTCTTCATACTGTCGCTGTTCGTTTTCCAACAAAAACAGCTTTATATGAAATAGGAAAAACTGAAGGAGGTAAAATAATATCAAAAAAAAAATCTATATTTTTATTCGATTTTTGTTTTTGTAAAGGACGATCATTATGGGCTCTAGCAATAAGTGCATATTCTCCAGATCAACATGTTTTATTACGTCCTGAAGTAAAATATATTGCAAATATGCATGGAAATGAAGTAGTTGGCGTTGAATTATTATTATCTCTAATTGAATATCTTATAACATCAAATGATAATCAAGTTATAGAATTAATAAATTATTCTCGAATATGGATTATGCCATCAATGAATCCTGATGGTTTAGAATTAGCACAATATGGTGATTGTGTAACATATAATGGAAGGTAAAAATTTATATGAGTAAAAAATAAATTTTCTCATAAAGATTTTTCTTGTAGATTTACATTGAATGGTATTGATTTGAATCGAAATTTTCCTGATTATTTAGGTGCAGAACTTACACCACCATTTCGTGCTAAAGAAACAAGTGCAGTTATGTCTTGGCTAAATTCTGTCCCATTTGTTCTTTCAGCTAATTTCCATGGCGGTGCATTTATTGTTAATATTCCTTATGATCGTTATTGTAAATTATTTTGTTTTAAATTTTAAAAATCTAATTTTTTATTTTTAAGATATTGGAAAAGTATCAACTAGTTCGGATGATGATATATATCAAGTATTAGGACAATCTTATGCTAATCGAATAAGAGAAACCAATAAATTTTGTAATTTACAATTTGATAATGTTGGAACAGTAATACGTGGCGCTGATTGGTATGAAATTATTGGTAGTATGCAAGATTATGGTTACTTAAATTATGGTACCATTGAATTAACAATGGAAGTCTCATGTTGTAAATACCCCTATGATAATTTATTAATGTCATATTGGAATTATAATCGTAATGCTATGATTGAACTTTTATTTCAAGCACAACGAGGTGAAATTTTTCGAGATCTCTATATGTTTTTTTTAATAAAAAAGAAATTTCTTGTTTAGGAGTGAAAGGTTTAATACTTAATGAAAATTATCAACCTATTCCCTTAACACAAGTTATGATCGATGATAGACGACCTGTCGTTAATGTAACACCATTAGGAGAGTTTTGGAGAATATTATTACCTGGAACATATACGTTAAAGGTAAAGAAAATTTGTTTAGAAAGAATATAATTAAATGAAACTTTTAGGTATTTCATCGTGGATACGAAATTTATCGTCAACAAATATTAATTAAAAATATATATATGCCATTAAATTTAACAATTATTATACCTCAAATGGCATATCGTCATTACGCAAATCGACCAATTCAATTATTATCTCCATTTGTAACTAATTAAATTTATTCCTTATCAGTATCATATGTATTATTTTTTCTTTGCCTTATGTCATATATAATTCAATAAATAAGGAAATGTTTTTAAATCTTTCTTCTTCATTCTGTTTCACTTAACCAAGAGTAGGACCTGGAAGAACAATTCCTAGTTCACTTAAGTGTCCCAATAATTCTTGATTATTATAAATTTCTGTATAATCAAAGCAATGACCAAGAACATAGATATGTTGTGCACAACATGTTACTTGATCAGCAGGACAAGTGCGTTTTTGATACACTAAATATGTCTCAACACCATGTTCCACTTCAGACCAAGTTTCATCACACCAACGTGTACATCGACCCCATCCAAGAAATCCACAACCATCATAACCACATTTATGACGACCATGTTTTTGTACCTAAAAATGAAAAAAACAAAAATAATGTTTATTGTAATATTAAAATTATTTATATATACAGTATATGTTGTTTGTCTTGTGCGTGCTATTGCTTCGACGCCAGGATCAGTTCTACAACACCAATTTATATCTGTAACTAGTCCAGTATTTCTTGATGATGATGTTGATAGAAGAGTATTTACAATATTTTCTTGATCATTTTTTGATAATTGATCAATTTGATCTTGAAATGTAGTTGTAAATGAAGGACAAATAAGGTTAAAGAATAATACGATTGAAATAAAAATCATTTTGATGAAATCGAATGAAGATAATTTTCGTTTTTAATATTATACTAGACATTTTCGTTCTTTAAAGTAATAACACATGTCTTTTTTCACATCGGATCGAACGATATTTATTGATTATTCAATAGGTTAAAAACAAAATCAGCCGATATTATTTTTTTACTTAAGTTCATCTCATAAATTATTTAATATATATGTAGAATATTTTGTTTTTAACTTCTATTGATTAAATATTAATAAAACAGAATAAAAAATGCATTTCCATCTATTATATTTTATAGAAATAATATAAACGGAAAGAACGTTTTAGTGTACTTCCGTATGTAACCGATCATGTTAAGTTGTAATTTTCTTTAAACGAAACAGAAATTCTTCTATTCTTTTCTTCAATCGCTCTTTTTTGATTCAGCATTTTTTTTGCTTCATTCTACTGTTTCTCTCTCATTTTTTTTCTTCTTTTCTTGTTTTACTTGCATTTAAGCATAACAACATTATTTTGCCTGCCTTTTTTTTCACCTATGTAAACAATAACAACAGCAACCGTTCTGTTTGATGGCATTATCGTTCATCACCAATTCAACAAAGGTGTCTGTCATTAGAAGTGTTTCTTTACCATTTGTCAGCACCAATAAATACAAAAACGGCGCATCAAACGCATCAACTAATAAATAGAGCGCTTCGAGAACAGGCAGACTCTCCTGTTTACGATGCGTCATCAAGCGGCCCAACTTTTTTACAACATCATACACACCATAAAGTAACATCATCACATCAACAATCAAATGATCATGATCATTTACCTCAAATAGCATCTCCTACAAATGCTGTATTTCGACATTATGGACCAAATGGGAATCCTGCTACGTACGGTTTTCATGTGAATAATGATAAATTTAAACCTCCTTCGAAATCTAAAAAAAAAAAGAATATATTCCAAAAACAATGAATACAACAACAACAATAAAAATGCCAAAAAATGGTGAGCCTGTTACGTTAACTAGAGCGTCACCTCCTCCTCCTCCACCTCCATCTAAAAAGAAAACTTATCATGAAAATCATAGAAAGGTAATATTTAAATTATTTTATATAGCGAAAAAAATCAATATATTTTGTTTTTTGTTAGCCTCGTCAATTATGGTGGACACCGAAACGAAATCATATTGAAATACGTTCTGAAGATACTAGTTTTCATTATAATGCATCATCAAAAGTTGGATCTTTTGATAATATCGATTATCATCCGACTGGTGGTCACATATCGATACGTGATGAACCTATGCATTGGCGTGCAGCACCAAAAGTTGATTCCCTTTCAAATGCTAATTGGACATCAACGGCACCTCGTATTGCTGTACGATCAGAAAAACTTGAATGGGATGCTCGTCCTAAAGTTAATTCAATGATGAATTTAGATTATAAACCTACAGGTGGTAATGTAGCAATTCGCGATGATAGACTTGATCTAAGCCATGTTACACCACGTGTTGATTGTGGATTTATTGAATAATTGTATGTGATTTTTTTTTCTATCGAGAAATATATTTCAATTTTATATTAATTATATTCATTTTGTTTATATATATATACACACGATAAAAAAAGCACTACACTAAAATCTTTTTTTAAACAAATGAAAAACACTTTGAAGAGCGTTAAAAGAAAAATGTAATTATGGAAAAAATATTTTTTAAGTGTAATAGATGATATGTTTGAGAAAAAATTACTAAGAATATTACTATAATAAAGAAAAAAGGTCAATTGGCTTTTTGTTTCCATGTAGCAATCACTCCCATGCTTCTGTTTTTATTGCATAATACAATTTTCTATTTATTAACGTCATCAAATGAAAATCATGGTATATTTATTTATTTTTTTACACGTCATTTATAGAAATTTAATACATAGTTACAAAAGTAAACAATACAAAAAAAAACAATGTTAATGAAATTCATTGTAACTGCTCAACTCTTTTTTAAGTTAAGAATAAACCATTGATTATATTATAATAAGAACTATTCAAACAAGTACATACAACATTTAGAAGAAGTAAATTGATAAAGTCAGTAGTGAACTGTCATGTGTAAAAGTTCAACTGTAATCACGTTTCACATAAAGTTAATCTTCGCGGATATTGCTGAGTTCTTGTGCTTTATTATTGTATTTAACTAAAAATACAAAAGATTATTAAAAATATGCATCCCGAGGACTTTTTATGAATAAACTTAATATTATATCACGCTGATTTTTCAAAAAAAGGATGATATAAATATTTACTTGTTTGATTTGTACTTCGATGATTTCCAGTTTTTCTTCTAGAAAAAGTATTTCCACCTGATGCTAATGATCCCGATTGTTCGTTTACTAATGTTTGAACATTTTCTGGTAAACATTGGACAAGACCAATTCGCTTTATAAATTCTCTTAATATATGTTTGATTTCCGAACGAAATGTTCGACTCGCTAATGTGTAAATATAAAATCCTATTACTGGAATACAATAATTCAATAATCGAAATACATTAGCACAAAAATTATAAATAATTGTTCCAGTTGAACTTAATATAATGTTAGTACCGATTGCACTATATAAATTGATAGTGGTAAATGGAGTTGTACAAATAATTGTAAGAAGAACTTGAAATAAAAGCATTCTAATCATTTGACGATCTTTTGAACGTAAACGGTCAGTTCTTGTATTGTTTGTTTGTGGTGCAACTTGTCTTCGAAGTTTTCGAACATTAAAAATTGTTTGTAAACCAAAAATAATCATAAAGAATGGTGGTAAAAGAGAAGTGAAAACAAGTGTGAATATTGTAAAAAATAATTGATAATTTTTATCAAATATATTACATGTTAGTGTTCTACCAATAGGTGCAGATTGGAACCAAATAAGAACATGAAAATGGATTGATGCAATGAATATAATTATAAATATAGTTCCTTTTCGTGTTATGGATTTATTACTAAATTGACGATAACGAACAGTTCGGCAACTGGAAAGAAATCGATCAATACTTGCAAGAACTATGAACCATTGTGTCAGACACAATGAAACATAAGAGAAAAAAATACGTAATTTACATAGAATATTGTTTGTATTTGATGGATCGATTTGCCAACCACTGGAAAGAAGACGTGTAAGTAATGCTACATATAAAGCAAATATATTATTGATAGATAAAGCCAAAAAATAGATTGAACATGGATTCTTTCGTAAAGAACGACGACTGAAAATCAAAATATTGATAACATTACCAAATGTTCCAAGAATAATTTGTAATATAGGTACAATACGATTGAGATTAAGTGTTACAATAGATAATGTATACTTTAAATCACCATCCATGTCTTGTGTAGTTTTAACTCAGATAGTATAATCAACTTTAGTTAATGCACTAAGTTTATATTCTATTGAAATCAACAATAATATAATGCATGTAGATTTCTTTTATATTTGAAAAAGAAAATAACATCGAATTATTAATCAACAAGGATTGTGTCATGAATTTCATAATTACACAATGTAAAATTAACACGCGCACGTGTACCTGGAAAATATATGCATAGGTTATTAAAACATTTTTTCCTTACTGAAATGAACTTAATTTTGTATAGTTATATTAGATTTTCTTAATAATAGTGAAAAGATGATATAATTAATGTATTTGTAGAATAACTGCAGGAAGCTGCTCTATATAGAAACAGATAAGTAGAATAATAATATATGTAAGATTATTTTCATCACATGATACGATACAGATTAAAATGTTTTTAAAATGATTTATTAATTTCATGAATTTTTTTCCTATTGTGTAAATGAGTGGGTGTGCGCGTGGATGTGTGAGAATGATAGAATATAATTGTACAATACATACACCCTTACTATCTCATGGAACACCGAATAAATATGAACAAAAACTAATTTTTAAATGGAACGAGCGAGTTTATATATATATATTTAAGACAAAACAGAACATTTATGTTGGATACAAAGGTTAAGTTAAAAAGAAAATATAGTTTTTATTTCTTGATTAGTATATAATAAAGAGCCTTGGCTTAATAACAACTATCTTCACTTGACTGACTGTTGATTTCGGTAACACTTAATTGTTTTACATTATGCGTATCTTTTAAAGTACTAATACTTTCCGGTTTTTGAAGAGCTTCTTGATTGGGAGGAGATATAGGTTGAGTCTCTGGTAATTCACCGGATGATGAAGCTATAAAACAAAAAAAAAATATATTCGATTGAGTCAATGAAAATATATCTCACTTGTTGCTTTCATATCAGTCGGTTGTTTGCCAACAAGATTTGTTTGATCGCATTGATTATCCATACAAAGATTTTTGCTACTGCTGAATAATATTGCCTCTATTCAAAATATTTTATTTAAATAAGAAAAAAAGAAAAGAATATTAAAAAACTGAGTATCATAAACTACCATAATAGGGACTAATTAAACATACTTTTTTCATCACTAGTATCCCTTGAAAAAACCAAAATTTCAGATGTCATTAAATCAGTAGTGGTCATTTTACCTTTCGAAT